GATGTTCATTTGATTTTAGGATAGGGTGGTTAGGTCCTAGGGTTGAGGGTTAAACATGAGAACATATTCACATATTTCTTTGACGATCCATGGGAATATTCCTGAGGGTGACAACTTTATTCTAGGCTCTGGGTGCTCTGGCGAAACACACCGGTGATCTACCAAATGATCCACTGGGACATCAAAACATTTCTTAGAATGGTTCGAGCGTGCAGTGACTTGGACTAGCCCACTTATTTTTAGTCATTCTTGTGGTTGTGCTCGTGTATGGTCTGCAAATATAGCTGATGATCCGCATGTGCATAAATCTAAGGCGGTGCTCTCGGGTGTTGATAAATTGAATTAATTCAAATGATCTGGTGCTCTCGCAGTCAGTCCATGAAAACATTGATCATGAAGACTAAGTGTTGGCTGTGATTATGTGAAGTGTTTGTTCTGGCAACGATCCGTGGTGATCGTGGACCAATGTTCTTCATTGTTCATTGTGTTCATAAGTGATAAACTCTAGTTTGTGGATGATGCTTACCTGCATGTGCAGGGGTTCTCTAGGGGTGTTTAGGTAACATACTGGGCTAGTGATTGTTAGGTTTTAAGCTCTAGTTGGCAAGTGCTTCTAGTGATTTGGCAATAAATCATGAGAAATGAGAGATAAATTCATGAACTTGGGCATGGCACCTTATCTTTGAGATGGGGTGACCTCTAGGCCACCAAGATAAGACATCGGCTCTTGCTCATCCTTGCTTCCAAGCAAAAGACATGGATTTAGGCTTCTTCATGATTTTCTTGCAAAAATCCGTAGAAATGCTTAAGAGAGAATCCAAAAGACTCATGAGATGATTGAGCTAGGGATGATCTTGGGCTTACACTTGAGATGATGGATAACTACCAAACTTCATCTTGCACCCATGCATAGAGAAACCAAGAGTTAGAGTTGGGGGAAATGATTTCAAGAAATGAGGAGAGAGTGATCTTGAGCTCACCATGGGTGGAGAAGGAGATGGAGGTGTCCATCCTCACCATGAGATGGTGGAGCTAAGCTCTTCCTTCATCATCTTCTTCTTCTTTTCTTTCTGTTCTTTGTCTTCTTCTTCTCCTTTCTCTCTCTAGTTCATCCTTGTTCTTCATGTGTAAAGAGGGAGGGAGAGAGTGGGGAGTGGATGGGTGGGTGTGAGAGTGAGTGAAGTTGGGCAGATTCTGTTGGCTATCATTTCCATTTCGTGCTGACATGTGGGACCTAGGGGGGAGAGAGATGGACATCTCATCAAAATTGATTCTGATAGATAATTGGTCTGGCGGACTCTCCGCCGAGACAACAGAATGTTCCGCTAGAACACTGAATTTGGAGAATTTGATTTAGGAAGAGGGGTTGGGCATTGAGGACATTGGTTTGCTCTAGGTGATGTTGATAATCACCTTCAAAGAGATTGGGAGGGTCACTTGGCCATATTCCTCGAGTTTGTTTTCAAAGTCAACTACTGGTTGACTAGGGTTGACTCCTAGTTGACTTCGGTTGATTGGGGAGAACCAATAAGGTTGATTGGCGAATTTGGAGTCCTTGCCCTAGTAGAGAGTGCTAGGAACCTTTCAGAGAATGATGAGGTGATTCGGGGGTTAAGAGGGACTGTGTAAGATTATCAAGGAGGTTCTCGAATTTGAAACGACTTTGGGTTGTGACAGTCAGGATCTAAATCATGAAGTACCAAAGTGTTGGACATCTATACTACTACAATTACCCGAAGATACAGCTTACAAATACATCACATGCTTCTAATTATTATTTTCCAAGTTTCATGCTCATGTTGGTGTTGCTAGTCATAATGATAGTAGATATGTTGCATCGGCTAATATTTATGTTGTTAATGATCTTCATTATACACATCATAATTCTGCACATCATGTTCGAAAGCCAAAGTCAACTACAAATTCTTTGAGTTTTAATGCTACTAGCAACATACGACATACATATTCTTACTCAGCGGCTAACCATAAAATATATTCATGAATGAGAGAATTTGCTATAACAAGAATAACTATCCAGCTAATCTATACCTAATAATAAAGAGGCAAAATTTCAGCCTTTTTTGTCCATCCATTTTTTGGTCCGTCTTCCTCTAACTACCGGACAATGGAGAATTTCTTCCACCCGGACTTATATATATAACATGTGCTCATACGAGTTGGAATAGCTCACGTCTAAACCGACATGGAGTCTGATTCTAAGATTATTGAGTTTCGCTATAAGACACGGACACGCCTTGTATATACCTATATATATATATATATAATATAATATAATATTAAAAAAGGCAAAATTCCTGCCTTAATTTTTGTTGGTTATCAATTTTTCTGGCTTCTTGTGCCGTGTTTGTGTGATGTTCCGTTTTGTTTTTCGGTTGGCTGTCGTCGGCTCCATATCCATCCATGAGACAAATATCCATTCTCCATCGACGGATAAGGGAAAAGAGAGACGCGTGAGGAGAAAAAGGAGAGAAAAAATGAATAAAAAATAAAAAAAGGAATAAAGAATTAAGAAAAGAGAAAAAAGGAAAAGAAAAAGAAAAAAAATCATCCGTTCCTACTTCGCTTCGGTCGTTTTGTTTCCGTTTCTCTAATTCCTTTTTTTCGGTCACCACCCGTCTCCTGTGTACGGAATCCCAGCTTCTATTTTCCTCCTTTTCCCGTATGGAATTCCAGATTCTATTTTCTATTTTTCTCCCTTTTTCTCGTGGCGTGAGTTTCTGCTTTCCGTTTTTTCTTCTTTGTTTTTCCGTTCTGTCCGTCCACTTCTGTTTTTTTTTTTTCCTTTTTTCTGTTCGTGCATTTCTGTTTTCTATTTTTTCTCCTCTACACATCGGTGGTTTCTTCTTGAAAAAACAAGATTATTCTTTTATGGATCACCCAAGTTCAACTAATCAAACCATAAACTGAAAGCTTGAGCACTTTATTGTCTAATCCCATCTAAATATGTATCTTTATAATTCCATCTAGGAAGGGTTGGCATGTGTAAAATCGAGAGCGATCTCCCATCACAATTTTCTGTATAGATACTAAACGTCGGCAATTAACTTCTTGCCTATTTTAATCAGATACTAGAATTACAGATTCAATAATGCTCTCCTCAGGACGTTTGGCTGGATGGACGCGGATTCCCCACTCCCGTCCGCGACGTCCTTGCCTCTTCCGCCCAATATGCGTGCTCTCCCGATGCTCCCCTCATGGTTTCTCCATCTAAAAAAACAGGATGCTGATTCCCCATTCCTGTGCTACTGCTCGCGCTCTCCCCTACCTCGCTCTCCTCCCTGCTCCTGCTCCTCTCCCTCCTCCGCCTTGGCTCCACACAGTCGCCGTCTCCCGCTTTCACCATCCCTCCTCCTTCCCCGCCACCGACGAAGGAGAAGCAGCATTAGCAGCAGGCTCCCGAGGTCGCACGCCCGCCGCCTCCCCTTCTCCAGCACACCGCGGGGACCGCGCCCACTCGTCTTGTCGCCGGGAGCGGCGCAACCGCTCTTCGGGGCCGTGGCCCGCCGCCCACCCAGTGTGACTCCGCGGCATCGAGCTCTAAGCTGGCGTTGAGCTCCACGTCAACGAGCCTCCATTCGTCCAAGCAGGAAGTAGATGTTGTACTTGAAAGCGTATGTTGCAAGTGTATGTTTCAAGTGTTTCAAATATTTTAGAGGTATGTTGCAAGTATTTCATATAGATGTTGCAAAACTAGATCGAGATGTTGCATATGTTGCAATAACTATACACATATGTTGTAAGTGTCTGTTCTAAATATTTCACCTATTTTTCAGACGTATGTTTGCAAGTGTGTTTATCTGAATATTGCATCTGTTTCACACATATGTTACATGTATTTTATCTGGATGTTGCATATATTTTGCAATGGTTTTTTCAAGTGTTTTCAGATGTTTTTACAAGTGTTTTCAGACATATGTTGCAAGTGTTTCAACTATTTCAAACTTATGTTGCAAATGTTTCATTTGGATATTTTAAAAGTAGATCGGGTGTTGCATTTCCCTCCTTGCCTTTCTGCTGCCTCGCCTAGGTGTCTCCTCCTCTTCTCAATGCTGGTGATGTTCAGGCGGCATGGGCTCACGTGGGGCGGGGGGCGTGGGTGGGGCGAGTCATTCGAGCGGCGCGGAATCCGAGTGGGCGGGGCATGCGGTACGGAGCAGGTGCGGGGAGCTACGTATGGACGCGGGCCTAGGGCTGGACGTCCAGGCGCTAACCTGACCGTTACATATTCTTTTGGTTCTCAATAGTTAGTCTGGAAACTTAATATTTAGTTGTACCAGCGCACGGAGAGTATGAAAAGTAAAGTTTGATATATTTACCTCAATATTTTTGTTCTTTGCAACAAGAGAAAACATGTAAAATGGTTTTATTTTAATTCAATATACGGTTAATAGAATATTATCATATCATTGCTAACATTAACTCATATTATGAATGTCATAGTCATCATAAATAGCATAAATTATAGATTTTAATTTTATAGAATTTTGTCATTATTTTTCATTATATTTGATAGTTTTTTTTTCTCTCATTACAACACACGGACATATTCTAGTTACTCTAGATTTTTATATGATGCACCGTATGCTAATAGAATGGAGGCGCCATCAGAGTTGGCTGTGGGAACCAAAACAGCCCCCAACGCAGAGACGTGGTCCCCATCTATGGCCATCGGATAACGTAGAGAATCCGCGTTCCAGTAGCACAGGAACAGCGTGTACAAAACAAAACGCCCCCTGGCCTGGGCTTTTCCATTTCTCCACCGTCCACCAGACGCCGCCACGCCATCAGCATGGGCGGAGCCGCACGACTTATACCGCCGCGTCCTATTGCCCAACTCCACTACCACCACCACTTCCACCAGTCAACGTCTCTTCCCTATCTCCACGCTGCCGCACCTGTCGCCACCGCCTCCGCCCTCTTTGCCCCCCGCCCCACTCCAAGCCCGAGCATCCGCGTCTCCCGCCCGCCGCCACGCCGCGATGTCCGCCGCTGCTGATTCCTCCTCCTCCTCCATCGGTAAACCCTCCGTCCACCACTCAATGCTGCCGCCCACTGGCGCCTCTTCCGTAGTTCACCTAATTGACCAACTCCTGTTCCTGTTCTCGTGTACTCCCTCCGTACTAAAAAATAAAGTCGTTTTGGACAGCGATACGGTCTCCGAAGTATAACTTTAGCTACTTAATTTTATAAAGATATTTATCAAAAAGTAATATATGTAAATTTTTGTGAAAGTATTTTTAAAGACAAATATATACATATGGTTTTACATTTCCAAACTCAAGAACTTAAAAGTTATTCATGATTTATATTCCCAATATTTGACCCAAGTCTTATCCAAAATGACTTCATATTTTAGTATGGAGGGAGTAATTATTATTTCCCTGTTGCATGATTGCAGGAGTATCAGGTGATGCAGCGGTTAGCTCGCTCTCGCCCGAGAGCATCGGGCACAACGATCTGCTCATCGTTGGGCTGGGCGTGCTCGGCCGGATCCTCGCCGCGATGTGGAAACAGGTTGTTACTCATTGAATCTTGAGCACTACCTTAACAGTACTTTCAGTGAATAAATAGTATTTTTCTCTCATAATATTTCAACATAAACAACAGTATATAAACCAAATTTGGGCGAAATGACGATAGATTATTATCAACCTCGCCCCTCTGTTGAGCGCAACTCGTCAACAACTTACCAACGGGGGTTGGACACATATATTGCTTTGATTAATTATTCAATTTGTCGTGTTCCAAGCAAGTCCACGTTGAGTTAGTAACGAAGGAATGTCGCCTGATAATACCTTTTTTTTTACCACCTACTAGTCACCAAACAAAACTGAAGTGTTGTAAGAAGAATAGTACAATTCTGAACTACATGCATATAAAAATAATACTTGTTAATAATCGGTCGGATATATTGAACTAAAGGGTAGGAGATACTTGCTGAAGTTAATTTTGTTTTCATGCAGTTAACTAAAAGTCACTCCCTATAAAAATAAAAATCAATCATTAATTTTCGATCTCTGCTAACATTTCTTTAGTGGTACAGCAAAGCACCATCAGCACTGCGATTCTGGGAATCTTAACCTCATGATCTTTTAGTGGAGTGTCGTGTCCTTGTGATATCTTCTTTACATTATCATTATAGTACCGATTGTAAATGTAAATTTCTTAACGGGTCAAATACTGTAAAGCTTGGTCTAATTAAGAGCTTGCCTTATAGGAATATCCAGGTTGCAAGGTTTATGGCCAGACTGCAACCACAGATCATCACAGTGAATTGACTTACATTGGTATCATTAGTTAGAAATTTAGCCATTTTCATTATCAGTTTAATCCAGAAAATAACATCAGCAGGTTTGTGATGGCATATATGTGCATGTGTATTTCTCTAAAGAACACTACAGCATGCAGACATGACATACAGATGAATACAATAGCAGTGAGTACAGTAATCACAGAGATTAGAGAGTACCCAGCGGAGGGTCCCATGCCGAGGGCATCGGAGGCTCCATTCGCACTAGTCGACATAGCACGTTGCTTGAAGTCGCGGACCACAGTCGGTGCAGGATGATGTTCGCAGTGTAGTCCCATGAACGGATCACCAGGAAGAAGGTAGCTTGCGGTTCCGTAGGCAATCTCCACGAAGAAGACGAGATATGCCACTAGGAAGAAGACGTACGTGGACGAGCAGTCGTGGATCGCTCCCTAAAAACCTAATCGCCGCGCACCCCGTGCAAAGTCTCTCGCGGATGAGGGTTCCGGAGGCACCTGCTCTCCCGCTACTCCGTGCGCGCAGAGGGGCGGGACGGGGAAGACAGAGGGTTGCGGAGATGTGGATTCTCTCGAGAGCTATTGCGGAAGACGGGGTCTGGACTGACGGAGGACTGCGGATATATGGCTGCGACCGGGGAATGAGACGAAGGCAGCGGAGAATCCCAGAAGACGGGAAGCGGAAGGGACGGTAACTTACGCAGTCAATTCGCCTCCACCATCAAAGAGCGAAACTCCCGTGATAATGTGGATTTAAGTGGCAAAAGACTGGCCACGTCCGCCCGCTCGCTCGCCGCCTGCCTCGGCACGGCCACGACCATGGCCTCGGCCCGACCGGTGGCGATGGCACGCCTTTATTCTTTTCTCAGCTTCTCAATTTAGATGAATAATTTCCAACCATATAAGATGAGTCAGCATTCAGTCAAAATGTCGTATGGTATTAAACCATACAACATTTAATGTTACGTACCATAGAGTTTTATTTGATTTATTAAATATTATATGGGCCAAGCCCATATTATATCCAACAATCCCCACCAAACTCTAGGGTTTGTAACAAAGTAGTCTCAGAATCATATTTCTTTTATATACCAGTGTTTCGATGGAGACTGTTAAGCTGAACATCCATCTAGAACAATAGTTTCACTCAGTCACAACTGAACAATGGACTAAGCCTTGAATTGACAGTTTTGTGTGAGGTGAATGTCACTAAAGTCCTTAGCTTATACTGGGCAGCAAAAGGCATCCCCTCTATTTGAAGCATATAAGTCATACTTCAGTGCCTTTCATGAGTGTTTAGAGATCATCCAAATCTCATAGACTGTGACCAGCAGTCTAACTCATATAGATGTGTTCCTTAAAAGATATTCTGTATGACAACATCTTTGTTTTGACAAGCCACTTGGAACATATTAAGGCAAAAGCCAGCCTGCCTTACAGAAAGCAAAAGATATGCATCAAAAATGAGTCTTACTAAGGATCTTTCCTCGCAATTTACTACTAGCTTGTTTCACCATTCTACTTCACGGGATCTCCGATCATATAGAACATGTTACCACTATAGTAAATTTCAAGTGGGTCTCAAACCCATCTCTCTCGATGCATTTTCTATCACATTGCGTGACAAACCCTTAGTGAACTGATCTGTCAGATTGTTAGACATGTGAACATAGTCCAACGCTATTACTCCGGAGTTTCTTAATTTTCTGATAGATTTTAGTCGTCTCTTAACATGCCTTGTGGACTTCATGTTATCCTTAGAACTGTTAACCTTTGTAATCCCAGTCTAGTTATCACAGTTCATAGAAATAGCCGGTATGGGTTTTTCAACAACCGGTAAATCCATAAGATGATCACGAAGCCACTCAACCTCAGATCCAGCAGTGTCTAATGCTATGAGTTCTGTTTTCATTGTAGACTTCGTTAAGATAGTCTGCTTGCAAGACATCCAGGAAACAACAACACCTCCAAGCGAAAACACATATCCACTTGTGGCATAAAGCTCATCAGCATCAGAAATCCAGTTGGCATCACAATAGCCTTCCAGCACTTTTGGATGTCCGGTATAACAAATACCATAGCTCATGGTCCCTTTTAGGTAGCGCATTACTCTCTCAAGAGCACGCCAGTGATCATCTCCTGGGTTTGACACAAACCGGCTCAGCTTGCACACAGCAAATAAGATGTTAGGCCTTGTTGCACTAGCAAGATACATGAGCGAACCAATGATCTAGGAATATCTCAACTGATCCCTTGGCCACAAGCCTTACCTTGTACCTCTCAATAGTACCATCAGGCCTAAGCTTTTTCTTCAACACCCATTTGCAACCTATAGGCTTGCACCCATAGGGACGATCAACTATTTCCCAAGTTCCATTAGACGTATCAAAATCCATCTCACTTCGTACTGCTTCCTTCCATAAGTCACCATCAGGAGAGGAATATGCTTCTTCAATGGTCGTTGGTGTGTCATCCACAAGGTACACAATATAGTCGTCACCAAAAGACTTTGCAGTCCCCTGTCTCTTACTTTTTCTGGTGACTATAGTGTCATCCTCCTTAGGATTTTACACATAGGGTTCCTTAATTAGTTCTATCGGAGTAAAATTTTCATGCTTATGGGGAATTATAAATTCATGACTAGTTGTGCTAAGTGCATTTTTCATGGGAAACTCATTCTCAAAAAATATAGCGTCTCTAGATTCCATGATTGTATCAACAGCCATCTTAGGAATACTAGAGTTTATAATTAAAAATCTATAACCTACGCTGTGAATAGCATAACCAAGAAAGACACCATCAACAGTCTTTGGTTCAAGCTTTCGCTTTTTGTTTATTAGCACATTCACCTTTGCCAAACAACCCCAAGTTCGGAGGTAAGAGAGATTTAATCTCTTCTTCTTCCATTCCTCGAATGGTGTGATTTCTTTGTTCTTTGTGGGCACTCTATTCAGGACATGACACGCTGTCAATATAGCCTCACCCCACCATTCCTTAGATAGTCCCACAGTCTCCAACATGGCATTAACCAAATTAGTTAGAGTGCGGTTCTTTCTCTCTGCAACCCCATTGGACTGTGGTGCGTATGGTGGCGTCCTCTCATGAATAATTCCATGCACCGCGCAAAACTCAGAAAAATCATTTGAGAAATATTCTCCCCCGCGATCGGATCACAAACGCTTGATTTTCTTCTCAAGTTAATTTTCTACCTCAGCTTTATAGACCTTAAAATAATACAACGCTTCATCTTTTGTTTTCAGCAAATACATGTAGCAAAATCTAGTGCAATCATCTATAAATGTTATGAAGTATCGTCTACCGCCTTTAGTCAATTCGCCATTCATTTTGCATAAATCAGAATGAACGAGTTCTAATGGTGCCAAGTTCCTCGCCTTAGCAGTCTTGTGAGGCTTGCGCGGTTGCTTCGATTGCACACACACTTGGCACTTAGAATCTTTGACTAAGTTAAATTTTGGGATTAAATTCAGATTTGCAAGCCGCGTGAGACAGCCAAAATTAATGTGACAAAGTCGTGAATGTCATATATTCGACTCATCCGAAACATTAACATTGTTCACCACTTTATTACAAACATCATTAAGCAAAGATAAGCGGAACAAGCCTCCGCAATCATAACATTTTCCAACAAATATTCCATGTCTCGATACAACACACTTATTGGACTCAAGCACAATTTTAAAGCCATCGTGACACATCTGAGAAGCGCTAACAAGGTTCTTTTTGATGGAGAGGACATGTTGCACGTTCTTTAATAACACCGTCTTTCCCGAAGTAAACTTCAGAACGATTGTACCAGCACTAAGAACACGCGCATGCGAACTGTTTCCCATCAGCAAGGCTCCACTCCTGCCGGCCTGATAGGAAATAAACAAAGAAACATCAGCACACACATGAATATTAGCACCGATGTCCATCCACCACTCAGGTGAAAGACAAACTGAAGGAACAAAAGGTAAAGAATTACCATACCCAGATGTTCCTCCTCCAGTCTCGCTAATTACCATGTTTGCTGATTTCTTTTCTTGCTTATATTTGCGGTCTGGGCATGCACTTGCCTAATGCTCATCACTCCCGCAAACAAAGCATCCTCCACATTTCTTATTATTTTTCATCTTAAACTGTGTAGTCTGCTTAGGCTTTGCATTGTTGTTCTCTTGTATGTTCTTCTTCTTTTTATTACGAGATGCAAATGAGTTTTTCTTCTGTACCATATTGGCAGCGGAAGACTCAACTCCTTTTCCACGGTTGTCTTTTGCTCTCGCCCTCTCCTCAACATCAAGAGATCCAATAAGCTCAGCTAAGCTAAACTCATGTCTCTTGTGTTTTAGAGAAGTAGCAAAATCCCTCTAAGAAGGTGACAGCTTAGCGATTATACCACCGGCCACAAACTTGTCGGGCAACAGACATGAGAAATGTTCTAGTTCCTTCGCTAGCGCCTGTATCTCATGAGCCTGTTCGACCACAGAACGGTTTTTAACTATTTTGTAGTCGTACAGCTGCTCCATAAGGTACAGCTCACTAGCCAGCATCAGAAACCCCAAACTTTGCCTCAAGAGCATCCCATAACTCTTTGCCTGATGTGCAAGATATGTAGTTTTTCTCATACTTCGGATAAAGTGCACTAATCACGGCGCCTCGAAACAGGTTATTGGCAGCCAAGAACTTTTGCTCCTCCTCAGGAGTAAACTGTTCAGGCTTCCCCTGCACGGCGTGATAGCAGTTCATCGCAGTCAACCACAATACCATCTTAGCACGCCATATTATGAAATTATTGCCATCAAAATTATTTGGCTTCAAAGCAACAGCAAAACCCCTAACAGAAAATTGTCTAAGATTAGGTTTTTGGATTGTTAGAAAATTAGGCATTTTCATTATCAGTTTAATCCAGAAAAATAACATCAGCAGGTTCATGATGGCATATATGTCCATGTGTATTTCTCTAAAGAACACTACAGCATGAAGAGATGACATACAGATAAATACAATAGCAGTGAGTATAGTAATCACAGAGATTAGAGAGTACCCAGCGGAGGGTCCCATGCCAAAGGCATCGGAGGCTCCATTCGCACTAGTCGACATAGCGCGTTGCTCGAAGTCGCGGACCACAGTCGGTGCAGGACGATGTTCGCAATGTACTCCCACGAACATATCACCAAGAAGAAGGTAGCTTGCGGTTCCGTAGGCAATCTCCGGGAAGAAGATGATATTTGCCAGCAGGAAGAAGACGTACGTAGATGAGCAGTCGCAGATCGCTCCCCAAAAACCTAATCGCCGCGCACCCCGTGCAAAGTTCTCTCGCGGACGAGGGTTCCGGAGGCACCTGCTCTCCCGCTACTCTGTGCGCGGAGATGTGGATTCTCTCGAGAGCAGTTGCGGAAGACGGGGTCTGGACTGACGGAGGACTGCGGATATATGGCTGCGACCGGGGAAGGAGACGAAGGCAGCGGAGAATCCCAGGAGACGGGAAGCGGAAGGGACGGTAACTTACGCAGTCAATTCGCCTCCACCGTCAAAGAGCGAAACTCCCGTGATAATGTGGATTTAAGTGGCAAAAGACTAGCCACGCCCGCTCGCCTGCCTCGCCACGGCCACGGCCGCCGCCGGCGGCGGCGCGCGCGCGCCTGTGGCACGCTTTTATCCTTTTCTCAGCTTCTCAATTTAGATGAATAATTTCCAACCATATAAGTTGAGTCAACGTTCAGTCAAAATTCGGTATGATATTAAGCCATACAACATTTAATGTTACGTACCATAGAGTTTTATTTGATTTATTAAATATTATATGGGTCAAGTCCATATTATATCAACATCATTCCCTCCTTGAAGGGGTCCGTGCCGGCTCCAAAATTTCCATATGTTATTTTCTGTGCTCCACCATATCGTTCTGAGGATTATGCTGGAGATCTGTGGTAAATAATTGTAAGCTTTCAATCATAATTGCCTCCTTTATTCATGTTGTATGCCACTCACAGTCTGACTTACATGCTCTGCCTTTTCTCTTCACCAGATTTTTTTTGAAATGTCCATAGTCCATACTTGAAAGTTGTAAGAGAATCTCCAATAGTCCCCCCCCCCTAAAAAAAATTGGTAAATCAATGAGTTTTCCATGTTGATAAAAAGTTAGGAGCACATTTGTTGGGTTCCTCCAACAATTTTCAAAATCTGGCTCTTAAAGTATACAAGGCAAATTTGCATAGGAATCTCGCACTATTTTCAAATCACCTCAACCAATTTTATACTTAATTTCTCTCTTGTGCATCTGCATTGGTAACTTTGTCCTTACTCCTTATTCTTCCCTACATCCTTCCACCTCCAGATTGGCCGATTGATATGTGCACGTATATTTCTGCGCTATTGGATCGATTTTCCCATGTGTGGAAAGATTGGGAGTTGAGATACAGAGTTGTGGGAGAGCGATTTTTTTTTCCAATCTTGCCAACAAAATTAAGATTGGGAGTGGGTTTGAAAACTCTTGGAGATGCTCTAATGCATGATTGGCTTCTGGGTAACATGCGTCTAGAAAATAGTGCAGAAATGTTATATACCTTGGATTTCTAGGGCTTTGGGCATTTATTCTCTTATTGAATTTACTAGTTTAGTATGAGTTAGTAATGTTTTATAATCCGACAAGACTTTGAGATGAGTTAGATAAGAAAAACACATAGAACTTTGCAAGGCTTTGGATGAAATGTCAATGCTGCATGAATGAGATGATATGCCAGCCCCCTCGCGCCACGGGCAGTATCTCTGCCATGGATCTATGGCTGCTTTCTGACACCACACGACCCCATAGCCACGTGGCTCTTTCCAATCGGCCATTCCTCTGCTGCCTGTGGTCGGCGGCATCCCCACCAACTCATCGATGCCGCGGACTCACCACCCCTCCTCACCAACTGCCACTGCTGGTTGCCGACCTCCTGCTATGGCATCCCTCTAAGCCCAGGCAGCACACCAGACCCTGATTATCCCCTCTCTCCTGAACTCAACATCATGGTGGAAACTTACAGGATGCCAATGACTGGAAGGAGCGTCGTTTTAAGCAAATTGATGTATAAGAAGTGTGGAAAACATTGATGAATGGTTCAAGTGTCCTTGCAGTCAAATATACCTCGCTCTGTCTTACACTTGAAACCTACTAGTGTCAGGTCCCAAGGACATGTAAGACATCCTTATACCAGATGACATGTGCAGAGTAGTAGCTTCGAATTGGAATGGAGAAGGCTCTTCCCTATTCACCTCGAGTACTGCTGCGTATGACTGCAGTGACAATGGATTCTGCAGTGAGGTATTAGTCCTATGAGCTTTGTATTACACAGCATACAAGTGCAGAGTTATAGTCTTTTGTTTGCTCCTGAACTTTGTGGGTGCAAAATCCACTCCATTTTTGTTGGTAGTATATGCAGTATTACACTATTATTTTCTGCTAATATTGCAAACAGAAACGTTCGAGGATTCATATAGAAAAAAATTGAACTTTAAACAATAAAAAAGATTGGTTTTCAGGCTGGTAACATGCTGTTTTGTGGTGGTTCCACTTTTCAATGTTCATCTATTTGCTTGGACTTTGCAACAATTTTCCAGACTTCCAGTACCAGCTGTCTTTCTTGATTTAATTTAACCTTTATCTTCTTTTCTGCTTGTGTAGGATTCTCCTTGTGTACCAATTGGTCAGAGCCCTCGTACTGACGTACTTCTAAAAGCTGAAAATGTTGTCCTTGAGGCAGGGGGCTGTGTTCTTAGGCTAGTAGGACTTTACATATCCTCACGGACATGAATTTTTTGGGTTCCAACCTTCAAGCACCTTACTTCTTAGATATATACATACATTGCCTGATTCCTACTGAATTAAATTGGGCAGAACTGATGCAATATTCCTTGACTTCCATTACAAATCAGATCGAGGTCCTCATGTTTACTGGTTGTCAAAAGGAACCTTGGATGCGCGTCCTGATCATATACTCAATCTGATACATTATGAAGTAAGCACTGCTACTTATTTATGGTTGTATCAACATGGACTAGTGGATTGTACGCTAGATGTTTGGGGCAAATCTGAATCCGTAGTTACCAATTTAGAGCATAGCCTTGGATGCAACATGTACTCTGAAGTTTTAATTTGTGTGATCACCCCATTTAACAAAACATGTATCCCTTTTGTAGATACTAAGTTTCCTTTAAAAAAATTCAACCATTGCACTGATATGACTAGATCCCTTTCTTGATTAATATGTCAGGGGTGTATGTTTATGTGTTTTGCATTTACAATTTTCTGCCTTATGTTATTTACAGGATGCAGCCTCTCTTGCAATTGCCATCATGAAAAAGAGATTACGGAGCCGCATCTTTGTGGGCTGTGACAATGAGCCTCTGTCCAGGTCACTGCCAAAGTTCATCTTCTTCAGTTCCCTTTCTTCCCACCAACAATGCTTTTGCTGCAAATACTTGTGTGCTGACAACTTTGATGCTGCAGGCTAGAGATTATGGACCGTGTCAACAGAAGCGGGAAATTTGACACACAGTTTCAGGGCTTCACTGGTTAGTGAGTCATATACTAGCATTCTGGCTGCTTTCATGAATTCCCCATTAAATCATTTGCTCTCTTAATTAACATATATACCTGCATGCTGTAGGGACTGATGGTCCGCTGGGGAAGAGGATGGAGAACTCCAAAACTCGGGCAGAGCTCGGATGGCAGCCCAAGTATCCGAGCTTTACAGAGTTCCTTGGTCTCAGCAATCTCTAACTTTCATGCGATGTCGCTAAATACTTGTGTGTCAGTGAGAGAGAGGCAGAGGAGAGAGGAAATCTGCTTGTAAAATCACCAGAAACCATACCAAAGGGGTTCTATAAATTGTCAATTCTATTATGGAGGCCATTCGGGTTTTCCTTTTGGAATAAATGTGTCCCCTCCGATCTACCATTCTGGTTTGTGTATAATCTCTACACCTAAAAATATTTTAAAGGAATCGTCCACTGACAGAACTAATACTACCCCGCGGCATCGTCCACCCGGCTATCTTCGCGCCCCACAAAACTGAAAAAAAAACGTCATTAGCACCCTACGTCCACGCGGGTACAAAAGAATGATTGCAAAACCGGAAGGCCCCGTGATGATATCAGCCCACTCTAATTCCACTCGACTCTCATTTGCTCCGATTGCGTACCGAAAGGACCCGTCGTCAGCGTCAGCTAAAATCTTCAATAGGCTCCGCGGTGCCGTGCCTTCGCCTTCGCTTCTCTCTGCGTCTTACCTTGATTACTCCAACAACAAATTCTCTTCCATGCTGCCCGGCGATTTCCTCACGCTTTATGGTACTGCACCCTCCATCAACTTGGCAAACAACCAACTAGGTGGGACTATTCCGTATGCAGAGTGTGACCAGTTTCATTACGAGGAGCAGGACGGTGAGGCTCTTCGAGATCTCGACCTATCCGGTAACAACTTCAGCGGGGAGGTCCCACCTTACGTGCTTAGAGGCTGCAATAATGCCCTGCGGGTGCTAAACCTGAGGGGCAATCGCCTCGAGGGAACGTGGCCCCAGGAGATGGACGGGACATGTAGACTGGAGGCAGTAGATTTACATGGAAATCAGATCCGAGGGCGCTTGCCAAGATGGCTAGCTAACTGCAAAGAGTTGAATGGGCTCGATGTCGGCGGCAACAATTTCATGGATTCTTTCCCGTCATGGCTAGGAAACCTCCCTCACCTTCGTGTGCTTATCCTGAGATCCAACCAGTTTTACGGCCCAGTGACGACAGTGAGCATGGACCCTCATAGTCATAGGAAGAATCACTCGAGGTCCGCTTACTTCTCCAGTCTCCAAATCATTGACCTTGCGGACAATGGCTTCACTGGAGTGCTACCACCGGGACTCTTCTACAGTTTCAAGACCATGGCTCAGGCCAGCACAGTGCACAAAGTACGTGAGGTAACAGTGATAGGTGAACAGGGTGAGACTGACATACATCAAGAACCACGAAATCCGGTCGAGGTCGCCATGAAGCAACAATACATGAGGATGCTCGAAGACCAACAACTCGACCTCATGCTGATTGACCTGTCCAACAACAGATTCAGCGGCTCCATTCCAAGGACGGTGGGCAACCTGACTGCCCTTCTCGTGCTCAACCTGTCGCGCAACGCCTTCACCGGGGAAATCCCGGCCGAGATCGGCCGCCTGTCACAGGTCGAGTCGCTGGACCTCTCGTGGAACCATCTCACGGGGGAGATCCCGCAGTCGCTGGCCTCGCTGACGGCCCTCGAGTGGCTCAACGTCTCCTACAACGACCTCAGTGGGAGCATACCTTCGGGCACCCAGTTCTCGACGTTCCCCAGCAGCTCGTTCCAGGGAGGCAACCGAGGGCTATACGGATGCCTGCTTCCCGTGCGGTGCAACCTGACGCGTCCACCGCCGTTGCAGGTGACCGGTGGAGAATCTGCTGACCACAGGTTCCAGGTTGTCGTGCTGTACCTCTTCATTGGTTCTGGCTTCGCGCTGGCCATTGTTGTGCAGGTGGTCTGCAGCAGGAGAGGCGCCAGGAAATGGCTGTGCAGAGCCAACTAGTTGTATAGATAAGTGGTCATTCACCTGAATGGAGCTTGTATAATTGTATTAGTTCTATAATAAACTTTTTGAAAATGTGTACTTTTGACCATGTTTAGTAGATAAGATACTGCAATGGTAATTGCATTCACCCAATCATTTGCTGTAATATTTTAGCTAGTCCTTGCCAAAAGACTTCCCCTGTAAGAGTTGTGACTCAAATACAACTGGAGTACTTCCTAATTGGTCACGCTCAGTTCCATGGATAGCCTGTTCGGTTGGCTGGTTCGTATCGTTGCTGGTTCGTTTATGTGAGAGAGAAGTACTGCTGGCTGATTCAGATGAACATTGTTTTTGTGAGGGGGCTGGCCAGCCAGCCCCAGCCGATCACGCTATATAAATAAAGTCTAGACTTCTCCATTATAACTTGTACAAACACATAATAAGATTTTTGCCCCATAGTTTTCCCTTTTACATTGAAGGTTTTTCCACGTTAAATTTCTTGTCTATCTCAACAAATGGTAACAAAGCCCATGATCAGTGGTGGAGCTCGTCAGTTTTGAAGCCTAGGGCCACTGTCAAAGCATGTATATCACCACCATCAGGTCAATAGATGTAGACTGAGTGAATTGGACCGAACCGGGTCAAAAATTGAACCAGCGAGGGCATGGATTCATTGATGCAAACATTAAAAACCAATTGAACCACAGGTTCAATAGATTTGGACCGAATAATCGGACTGGCCACAAATAGTTTGAATCGGCTCAGTATATGGTTGATAATTAGCAACATATACCTGATTATAGATACGGATAATAAGCTGATAAGTAACACAATTATGCAACAAAAAACAAATTTGCTATATGCCTATATCCATGTATCCAACATCATTTGATATATCTAATTAACTGGGTTGTAATTTCTTCTCATCTCTAAATTTGTGAATTCTTAGTATAATACAAATCAAACCAAATTGCCTATGATTAACAGATTAAGTACACAAAACTCATGTCGGCCTACTTGCTTGCTTCCTTGTGTGTGTCAGCATGTGGTAGGGGCATACCAGTTCGGCAGACGGCAGTTCCTGGGATAGATGCTCTCGACTGCTGGTGCCTGGTGAACAAGAAGAGAAGGTGCTCGGCTCCTGCCGTCCTGCGTGCTACGGCCCTGTGGACAGTGCCCTGCCCTGTTCCCCACAACGCCACGATGAACGCCGGCACGCCGCGATGCCAATGCTGCTGCGGGCAGGCCCTAGGTGTCCAGGCGGGCAGCCGCCCAGTGGCCAACGCCAAGACCCGCCTCCGACGGCCAAGGGGCAAGGACGCAAGGGCCAACTGTGGAGCGCGGAGCCGCGGGTAGGCGGCAAAACCCCTTGTGGAACGGTCCGGCGGGCGGCGGGCGGAGGGGAGTCGGGATTTCGGCGGCCGGCGGGCGGAGACGCTGATTGTAGAGCACGGGGACGGGATTCAGGAATCAGGAGTCGGGGTTCCCTCCCCTCTCTGTATCTGGGCTGGTGAGGATGAAGAAATTTGGCCCAACGTCTTCGAACTGGGCTACAAATTTACATGTACTCTAAAGAGATATTTTGGGCCACTCCTAGGCCAAGGCCCTTTGCTCAAAAAAAAAAAAAACTAGTCCAAGGCCCTAGTGGCCCTAGGCCCATATCAGCCCTGCTCATGATCGAAAAACCTAGAAAATCTCAGGCGTCACATGGTGACACGAAAACTCGTTAATATCTTAGAGAGTCGCACCGGTTGTGTGTGACATGAAGCATTGGACGCCTAGAGATAACATCTTTCCTACGTAAGAGCATCTCCAAGAGTTCCCTAAATCCCTTCCTAATCCTGATTTTTAGCAAGATAAGAAAAAACCCCTCTCCAACAACTCTTGAGATGCGCGTATCTTCTCTCCCGTGCGTGTTTATCGGCCAATCTAAAGGTGGAAGGGCGTGGAAAGAATAAATAGTAGAAAATATTTTCTGATGCAAATGTACAAGAGAGAAAGAATATATAAGTGGTTAGAATAATTTAGAAATAGTATAGGATTCCTGATGTAAAATTGTCTTCTATATTTTAGAAGTTGATTATTAGAAACTCTTGGAGATGGCATTCTTTGTTCCTTCTAATACTTTTTTAGGAGTTGTAAAACTTTATGTTTTTAGGAAGAAAATATTGGGTACTCTTGGAGATGCTCTAACACAGAATTGTGTGATGTGAAAAGCTAGGATCCTTATGTGACGGGAAATTGTTAGGTTTAGTCTCACATCGAAAATTAATGGTGACGGACCACAACATATAAAACAAGGCAGGTCTCACGTATCAGGCTATTCTTTTAGGTTGAGTTAGGCCCGAAGCTTTTTATATGTCGTGGACTCCAGTGAACCTAGACCAGGGTCGTGCCCCATGCATGTGCGAGACATGCGATCATACGGGGCCTCAAAAATTATGGCCCATCAAACCCTACCGACTCTTGTATTAGCTTCCGATGTTGCGTCTCTTCATAGTGGCATTGCAAAATCCATCTAGTATGTATCGGCCCGTCTCCCCATCTAAGCGTCCTGAATCGCCATCCGCACATGACTGAAAAAGTGGAGGCTACCAAGGATGGTACATGTACGATTCTTGATTTATCGCAATGCTATGTACATACTATTATCGTCTATTTTTCTAGGGTCTATTTTAGAGTTTAGAACAAGGCTCTGGATTTTACCGGCACGGCCCTACTCGTGAGTATAATGAGCTGAGCTAGATCCGGTGAACACTAACGACCCCAAAAACTCAGAATACTTCATGTAACCCAAAAAAACTTAGCACAATACCTGTGAATCTATGGAAACCGGAGTCTACGTTTAGTCTTGAGATTTCTCAAGTTTGATAAACTTTGGGGGGGGGATTGGATCTAAGTTAAGATTTAATAGAAGTATTTAATTAATAAACTTAAATTTGGTCTGTGACATCCGTAGTGATCATCACAGCGCGCCGTGCTGTATTTGGCCGATTTTTTCCCTTAAATGGAAACGGTAATTCTCGATTACCGGAAATCGTTTTTGAGAAATTATCGATTTTTCCCCTTAAATGAAAACAGTGACAGTTATCGATAAAACAGAAATGAGAATGGTAAAAACATCCGATAACGAAAACGAAAGTGATTTAGCTCTCTTCCTATCGTTTTAAAAAAAATACCATATTTAATCGATAATCTACCGTCAAGAATTATCGAATTCAGGCAGAGACACACGATCTCAGATCTCACATCTCCACTGAGCACTCCAGGCCAGGCCCATTGGCCAAGCCCGCGGGTCACCCTCAGCCTTTGAGGCCTTGAGAGCACCTCACCCTCACGTCTTCACCCTCATGACTCCAGGTCTCCAGCATAGTGCACAGCAGTACAACACGTTGTGTCGTTGGTGGTTGTGGGCACATGGCTGTGCGCCTTTGTGTCGTGTCATTTTGTGTGTCTTGCCTCTTGTTCCATGGATCATTACTAGGACACTATTATTTTTCATGTGACCTAGGTTAATCTATACATCTATTGTCGTGATGTTTAGATTGGTGTGTATTGTATTTTAGATATTGCTTTCATAATTTTCGATCGTTGTCGATGTACTTTTGAGCGAATAGTTTCATTTTCAAATTTATCGGAATATCGATGTCGTTCTCGTTTTCGATAATATCGTATCGATTTTGTTTTTAAGAAAATAATGTGAAACTGAAAATGATTTGACCTCCTATCAATCGTTTCCGACCGTTTTCAACCCGATGTTGTCGTAGTGGAGCGAGAACAAACTAGCAAACTGCGAACGTGCGAGGCTGCGAGCGAGCCAGCAAGCAACTACTGGCATACAGATTTGTTGGCCTCGACCTGTTCTTGAGTCATATTCAGCAGCTACTTGCTGTTGGACCTCCTAATTGAGTAAGCTCATGCCAGCTCCGTTTAATTAAGCTCAGCCAAGTTGCAAACACGCCGAGCGAGCTGATGAGTTTCAGGATTTTGAATTTGTCTACTTGTAGCTATGACCCTGAGGCTGGCTATGCCGGTGTTGATACAACAGAACCTATTGCGCCGAGCCGCACAACTCGGAATCCTCGATCGGAAGTCAGGACAAGCTCGTGGGATTTGTTTTCTTTATTTTTTGTTGTGAGAAAAAGATGGACAGGCTTCAATTGGGAAAGGAAAACAGATACAGAGAGATCAGGAATGAAACCGGCATCGCAAGCAGATGTCGAGGAGCCAACTCGTGGCGTGGCCACGTGGGGCCGCCGGCACTCCTCCTTACCGTTACCGGGACCAGGGGACGGACGGCAGGTCGGCAGCATTTTCCCGTCTCGCTCCCTGCCTACATGACCAAAACTAAATAAACACATATACAGAGATGATGCATGACATACTCCAAGGCCATGTCGGTCGGCGAAACTCGGCATGTCGGCAACGGGATCCACATGCCTCCAGCCATGCTCTTGGATACTTATATAGTCATATGCGATCGGATATAAATTTATAGTTTGCCTTTGTTGTCTACTCATATTATACCAATGAAAAATCCAGGTAATGACAAATAAAGTTGCGTGCGCACATGTCAGAAATGGCGGCTCAGCTGATATGTGATAGTAATCTGTATATATATGCCGGCGGCCATCCTAACGCGACACGGAACTGCAGAAGCTGTTTACACAATCATCATGCATCTTCGTTATACTACATTTTGTTTTGCAAGAGGCACCCTTCCGATCGTACCGGCCGGTAACGAATGTGCATGTTCGCTTCAATTTATTAGCGGGCTTATCAGCTTCTACAGGATTTTTCTCTCGCAACAAAACAGCTTCAGTCGACTTTAATACCAGTCGAAATGGCTAAAACTCCTGGTAGATCTCTTATCAAGAGAGAGATTTTCACTAGGTAGCTAGTAGATCCAGCAAGGCAGTGTCAAAAGGTGAAATGTCATCGGGTCCACCAAAATCTGAATATCCGATGCTGGCTAGGTTTCACATCAGTAGTTAGGTCCGGACCGGAAGCCAACATCTGTTGACGTGAACCTAATCTTAACTTTGTACAGTACAGATTAGCTCACATCATGTACTACATTCCAAAAATCCAATGCAAGCACGCTTTTATTAGCAACTTTTTAAGCAAAGAAAGAAAAAGTCCGTACCGCACGTATACCATTATACCAACAAAACGCCCCGTCGACCGAGGACAAAATTGACGGGGTATTATTTTAAATTAAACGAGTTCATCAGGGCAGCTCCAACAATTGTCTTTTAAATTAACTTTAAGTATTTTTCTCATATTTTAATAAAGATGAGAGAAAAACTAGCTCTTAATCAAGACCTTAGCTCTTACACACATTTTAAGATTATGTGAGAATGTCATTTGGGATATCCGTGTTAAAAACTATCGCCCTATTCGCTTGGACTTGTTTGGCTGATAAGCCATGGCTGAAAGTACTGTTAGCTAATTTTGTGTGAGAGAAAAATAATGTTCGTTGGTTAAAAAAGTACGGCTTATAAATCAAACAAGCCCAAACAAATAGGGTGTATATGCTAAAAGTTAGCATTATTGAAAGAAGTTATCTTAGAGTCAGTAAGTAGCTCGGGTGCCCTTGGAATTCACGGAAGCTCACAGACACATCAGTATTTGCCTCAGGCGGGCCTTTTGTATTTGATTACAATCCTGCTTTTGCAACCTAGTGTTTTCTACTATCCGATGCATCAAGCAAATGAGAGAACAGACTTTAGAACGATGTCCCAATTTAGTATTAGCCTCGGTATTTTTTGCCTTCGGGACTAGAAGGCCTTTAGTTCCGGTTGGTGTCTCCAACCGAGACTAAAAGCCTGCCTAACGGCTAAACCGGGACTAAAAGTCCTCCAACCTTTAGTCCCGAGTAAAGTAAAGTAGACCCTTTAGTCCTGGGTTAATAACACCAACCCGGACTAAAAGGAAGTCCCGGTTGGTAACACAAACCCGTTGGTAACACAAATCGGGACTAAAGGTCCCCGGATGGGTTAGTTCAAAGAAAGCATCACATCCATTGTTTGCCTCAGTAGGTGGGGGCTTTTGTATTGTGAGGTCTTGGGTTCAATCTCCTGAAGCATTATTTTTTTTAAAAGTTGGGATCTTTTTCGGTTGTGACAAACCGGGACTAAAGAACAACACCTTTAGCTCCGGATTGCTAGTCCCGGTTGGGAAACCGGGAGTAAAACTGGTTCCCAACCGGAACTAAATCTCATATATGTAGTAGTGAGACCAAATAAGCGATATATATATGCTATATGCAAGACATATGTCGATAGATTTTGCACGGTCGCCTTGTCTAGCAACAGCCGAACTCCCATGAAGTCAATTGTGGAGGCGGGCAATTGGAATTAGCGAGGAGGGAGCAACCGACATCAGACTAGACAAGCTTATCGCTATCGGAGCCAGGCGGGCTGGCACCGGCAGGCACAGCGCACAGGTGGGCATCAGACCGTTTGTACATAGTTTTTCTTTCACAACAAAACAGCCGCAGTTGGCTGGTGGCTGATAAGCCGGATGTGACTGTTTTGTTGTGAAATAAAATACTATACTATAACTGATAAATTGGGTTGATAAGTTGAAGGGAACGGAGCTATTTCAGCAAGCCACGCTATATATACCAGCGCTAGGAGCGAGGAAGTCTGGCCGTGCACTCTCGGAACAGCTAGGTTTGGCTTTGGCTACATACACACTAGCTACATACAGCTACAAGTAAACGCGTAGGTTTCACATCATTTATTTTGGTCCACAAATTAAACCAGAGTCGAGCAAAAGCTTTGGTTGGCGTTTATCTAGCCCAGCTTTCAAGTTTACATCGGATTAGCTGACATCATCATGCGCATTTCAAGCGCACTTTTTTTGAAGCAAAAAGGCAATACGTCGTTCGTGCACGTACGTACCAACAAAACACCCGTCAATTTTGATGACCGACAGCGCCAGTCCACCACCACGATAGACATACATGCATGAGAGAAATTTACAGGGAGGGACATGAACTCCTGCAGTCAATATAATCAAATGAAATTAATTAACTAAATAAAAGGTAGATTATTTACAGTGGCTCTTTGTATTTTCCCGTGGTTGTTTGTCCTCGTCCATTAAATAATTAATTAATTTATCTGTTGTCTCATTGTGCTGTATGTGCGCACGGAAACAAAGATTAATTTTCTGTATAGAAAAAGGACACAAATGCCTCCTACAAAGCTTGTTCGGTTGGCTTGTGCTCGTCGTAAACTATCGTAAATTTCCAGCCAGAATAATATTTTTCTCTCACACCAAACCAGCCAGCAGTATTTTTTCACGAACAAGCCCAGTCAAACGAACAGACTGCTTGATTTTGCCGCCTGGCCGTACATGTCCCCAGATCGGAACAAAGCATACCAGATGAGAATCCTCATCAAAGTATAAGCTAGACCTTGGTTCTAGCTAAGTATCCTACATGCCTACAGAGATGAACAGAACAAATATGATCTCCATCTCCTTATCTTGTTGATATCCTGAATACTATTTACATGAAGAGAAGACAGAACAAGTGAGGAAATTAAAAATTATCAGGCCAAGAACACACGAAAAGGTTTGCCGTGCAATCTCTCTTTCTGACTGACCAGTTCAGTTGTTTACATCATTCACATCAAACGTGTACTGATTTTCTCTAAAAACATACGCTATATATATATATATATATATGCAACCATAAAACTCAGCTAATTGCGTGCCACTACAGAGGATGGACCAAGAATCGAGTTACCAAAGCATGTTGGCCTGGTCGGCCAGAGGCGGAATCGGAACGAAGGGGAGAGACCTTCAACTTGGCACACGACGGTGCCGGTCCACGGCTGGCGGCGTCGGCCATCGACGATCGATCAGTAGTAGCGGTAGACGACGTACGAGTTCCGGCGGGGCGGGCGTACGTGGCAGAGCATGAAGAGCACCAGGGCGATCATCATCGCCAGCAGGAACCCCTTGGGATCCAGGCCGCCGGCGGCGTCACCTCCGCCGTCGTCGCCGCCGCCGTTGCACCCCATGCAGCAGCACGATCCCAATCCCATGGCGGTGGGCGCGCGTGGGCCTAACCTGACACGCCTCCGATCCTCTATGGAGAGATTGAGGACGAGAGCTCCCTTCCCTGGTCGATCACCCTCTGAGTCTGTGGCTGTGAGTGAGAGGGGCCGGCCGGAGGAAGAGACAGAGTTGCTTCCAGTGTGGAGAAAGGAGGCAAATGGTTGCTTGGGACGCAAAAGGGGAGGAGGATGCACAAATACAACCCATTTGTTTACTACCATCCATGGGCGCAGGTCCAAGAAGAATAGGCCGGTGCAGAGACGGCAGGATCTATGGCGCGTGAGGACCCACATGTCAGTGACGAGAACAGAGAAAACCGTTTGGACTTCTCATCTTTCTCAGGGTTGAACTGCACTGTTCTAAACTCTTGACTTTGATTTATTGGTGTAAAAAATGTCGTTTTCAAAGGGTTTTGGAATTCCACTTCAGGTCTAAAATGGGACCGATGACTTTCACCTCAACCTTCTGCGAGTCCTATGATCTAAATTCTAAAACACTTTAACCTTTCAGTTTTTATCCTTTTTTTTATATATATGAGCGATGGTTTAACGGCCTATTCACAGCCTGATCGCTGGGGCTGGGTTGGCCAGCCCGCCCCCTCACATGGCTACTGTTCACGCGAACCAGTCAGCAGTACTTCACTCTCACATAAACGAACCAGCAACGATACGAACCAGACAACCAAACAGGCTGTCAGTCAGATACCGCATTTTACAAAACTTTACTAGGCTTTTTATGGCAGATGTTTTGTTCGTGCCACAATTTCACAGCACGTCATGTACTTGTTTTCTTTAGCCAGATCTTGGCTACGAAATTGGTAGGGTATGGCAAGTGGTGTGGCTAACTGCGCTAGTCAAGTAAACAGACCAAAGAAGCTTGGTGCAAACGGGACAACCAAAGTCTGCACTTGTTCTACAATTTGTTGACTGCTCGTTTGTTCTGTAGTTGATGACTATCAGTTCTCTGGAACCATTCTGCGACCCCAAGCTTCAGTTCGTTGAAAGGAACTTGCAGTCGACAAATCAACTTGTTGGCCAGAGGACCAGACCTTAAAAAGTTAAAACTAGTTTGCAGTTATACAACCGCGATTAAAAGTTAAAACTTGTTGGCCATGTATGTTCATGTGACCGGAGGGGTGGGTAGCATCTGTCTGGTTCACAACTCAAATAGTGTGAGAATAAAAAATACCGAGGACAGGCCCGGAGTAGACTGAGATGTACACCCTCACCAGTTCAGACGATGGTACAATCTAGCCACGGCTGCTACTCAGCTGAGTCAGAGTAACTGAACAGTATGCGAGGATGTTAACTGCTGATACCAAGGAATTCGGTGAAGCTTGGATACTTTGGTTCCCAACCGATCTCAGCCCGAGTTTTCGAATTCTCCATTCTCTTCCCCAATGGACCGTCAGTACCTGCAGTTAAAACACATTTAAGATTAATTAAGCTATGGTAATGCCTGTGCACTCAAGAATATGACAAAACCATAGCAGGTAGTACAAGACTAACCAGTAAAGCCTTCAAACTTCGTGTCAAATTTTCCACTTTTGTTAACAGCATCCATTATTTCTTGCCTGTAAAGTTTTATCCCTTTTCAATTTAGGCAAACCAAAAGTGTAACACTGCCCAGCAAAACTGACAGTACAAAACAAAGAAACCGATCTGAACAAGGTCAGCAGTTTTACCTGGAAAGGGGCTTGTTGTCACAGCCCAAAAATATTCGACTCCGCAGTCTCTTTTTCATGATTGCTATTGCAAGGGAAGCAGCATCCTGGCACCAATATGACATGTATAATGAGAGCTAATAATATAAAGATGGTTGAGGAACAAGCTATACTCACACCCGTCCATGTGATTGACATGGAAAAGACCTTAGGAATATGTAAAGATATCAACAGCTCTAGTGATTCATATGCATGCTAGGATCACATCGAACAATACTATGGTCAAAACCAATTAAGTGGATATATAGTAACTTCTAATTGGATAGCATTGCATTGTCTAAAGTAACAAACCAACAAAAATCACTTTTTCAACTTGCTTCATAGACTGCAACAATATAAGCTTCAGGATTTACAGGCTACATATATAGTTTTGAAAACCTATGCTTTTGAATTTGATAAATAAGTACAATATTAAAATTACCAACATCTGAGCGATAACAGGCATTCTGCTTAGCATTTTTTGAGCTAAATGCTGTACGTTCATTTACAGATTCTGGACATAACATAAATAAGCTCAAGTGCTCAACCATCAGATGGTAAGATGAGTTGAGAAACTATAAACAAGATGTGCAACACTGCAAATAAAATAAATCTGTAGCTCATCTTACCTCATAATGAATCTGGTTGATGATATGGTCAGGTCGTGTGTCTAAAGTTCCTTTCCTCAACCAGAAAACATGAGCACCTCTGTCTATCTTGTGTGTCCAAGTCAAGGAAATGCTAACCAGTTTCATCCATAGTAATGTGTAAGAGTTTGTGTTCATAACAATTAAGCATTAGTTGAGGATATATAAAGTCCAGCTAGCCTGAGAACACAGCCTCCTGCCTCAAGAACAACATTTTCCACTTTTAGAAGCACATCAGTACGAGGGCTCCTGCCAATTGGCACTGACGGACAATCCTGCACAACGAAAACATTTATGGTTAATACATCACAAAAAAGAAGGAAAGCAGGACAAGCAAAGTTTTCCCACTGACAACTAAAATATAGATACGGATGCATAACATGGTTTGTGGTTACTTTTAAAAGTTTGCCAACTTGTACCACCCAAAAGAGCCAGAGAAAATAGTGGAGACAAATATGATCCCTGCAGAATAGATGTCTTTCTATACTACCTCGTTGCACAAGCTGTTGTCACTGCAGTCATACAGAGCTGTACTTGATGTAAACAGGAAAGATCCTTCACCACTCCAATTTGATGCTGCCAATCTGCACACATTTTCTGAAATGAGGATACATCACATGTCCACACTAAATAAGATATAATTTAATTAGTGGAAGAAAGATGAATGACGAATTCATAACAGACTCACATGCAACAGTGGCAAAATGCAGTCAAGTATGGATTATGAATGGTGATGGTGTGAAGCACAGATGTGTTGATACTAAATAAAGCTAGCAATGACAATCTTTATATAGTATCCACGTGATTAACCAGCAAGTACGTTAGATTCTACAAATAGTGAAGAGCCCTTTTTCATTCATTGTTAGCATAAATAAATATTTACGGACAACACCAACCAAGTACCAGATAAAACGCAGCACCTAGATTCCATGATAGCCATAGCCAAACACAATATGTTACCTTAGTTGCTAACAAGACAACATGTTACCTTCGTTGGTCCATGAACCCAAAAACACTTATTGCCAACTGGGAAGTTGTTTCAAGCATAATACACTTTGGTAAATTCAGGGATGAGTTGCAACCGAAATATGAGATGTAAAGTCTTCTGTCATATCTGTAATTTCATCTGAGTATACTTATATTAGCCTAGGGCGTACCCAGTGCAGAGAGCTCCCGCTCTGTGCGGGGTCTGGGGAAGGGTATTAGTGGCAAGTCTTACCCTCGCCTGTGCAATGCGAGGAGACCGCGACTCGAACCCGGGACCTTCTGGTCACAGGCGGTAAGACTCTACCGCTTGCACCAGGCCCGCCCTTCATCAGGTCCTGCCTCAAGAATTGAGAAATCAACCATGTTTTACACCCCCGTTCTCTGTCACTATGCATGATACTGTGATGGTGGCACATCTGCTATCAGCTCTAGCATAAACACTGCTGCATCTAGTCTTACACCACCATGCTAGTCACCAACAATAATTATTACTAAACATATGCTCATGTTTCTTTGTAAAATATGCCACTATTATGGCTGTCAACAAACATATAATGCATTCACTGCCATCAGTTTGATCAGATTGACCCAATTGATATTTAACTAAGATATAGTGCCCAGATCTCCATCAAGTTTGACTTGGATATGAAATCTCAACCTAAACAGACTAACACACCCCAAAACGGATTTCAGTATCGGTGGTCCGAAATTTTTTTCTAGAAATGTTATGTACTGTAATGCACTAGAAGAACACAGATTTGGAGAGCTTCATGATTTCCAAAGAAAAAAAAAAGATTAAGCCAGATCATTTTTACCATTATCATTACCAGTGAGCAAAGTACGTGATAAAATATGGCACTGGAAAATTGAAATACATTGATGAAATCATCATTATCATGGCACTCATTTACCTGACATCCCCAGGGTAATCATCTGAACTGGACGGAGGAGCGCAGAAAATAACATGTGAAACCTTCTGATGAATAGTGGTGCCTTTCAATGAGGGGATGATGCCAAGATCTGTTAACTCACTGTGATGATTTTTGCTTGCAGTCTGGCCATAAACTTTGCAACCTGGATGGATGATTTTTGCTTGCAGTCTGGCCATAAACTTTGCAACCTGGATGGTCCTCCCCCCCCCCCCGGCGGTACAGGAAAAAGGAAATGTTTGGTTAAAAGGGGATCATTCCAAAAAGAAACAGCAAAGATCTAAAACTGATTTGAACAGTACAAGCATCGGTTGAGTAAGTTGTTCTGGTGCATGATTCTCAATGCTAAGGCGATTGAGGAGCCGAGTAAATATATCAGAAATATTAATCATAGCTAGGAACTAGGAATACCTTTTGCCACTTCTCAGCTACGATTCGTCCAAGAACACCAGGGCCCACAATCAGTAAATCATTCTGGCCAACAACATTGGGGTCAGAAATGTCAGACCCTTTATCATGAGATATCCCTATGAACCGCAAACACAGAAAAAAGAAAGAAGAATCAAATAATAGCAATCATCTCTATGAACTTCGTGATTTGGAAATAAAGAACTTAACACAGGAACCTTTGCAAGTTACAACTTTGAGCACGTCGCAATCAATAAAAATTGCAACATACATACATGGCACGAAATTGATTATAGCTACTAGTACAACCTGGTGCCCATCGAAATCAGCACTACAGTCTTCTAACGGCATGAGTGACAAGCTAATCCTTCATTTCCATCGGAAACAAAGGGTGTGGGCATCCAACACACATGTAGCTTGAGAGGATTAGATACATCTTCCAAATTGTTGTGATGTCAAGCTCTATTAGCAGCAGTTCGTAACAGAGCCGAGAAATGATATAGCATTTAATCCAATTGGTCAATTCAAGGCGCAGGCATGACAAGCGTCGCAAATTTGAAGGAGAGAAGCTGCATATGAGAAGGGCAGGGGGCGGTGAGACGGTTACCGAGAGAGGCGCGGGCGAGCGAACGGAGGCGAGGCGGCCGAGCAGTCGGCGCAGGTCTCAGGGAACAGGAGTCGGCGATGGAGCCGCGGCGATGGGCCCGGTTCGTGGCGGGTGCCAGATGGAAGGAGGCCGCAGCGGCTGCTCTCATCTCGTCGGCCGGCGGGGTCGCGGCGGCGACAGTGTGACGGGGAGGAAAGAGTTGACGGGGAGGATGGAGATGATGGTGTGGATCGAGTTCGAGTCCCAGGAATCGGGGTCGGTCTACCTTATCGATTCCGTATCGGTTTCGGGCGGTATATCCGGTTCCACCACCTATAAACCGGTAAAGAGAGCCATCATACCGTACCGGCCTCAATCCCAGCCTGCTCCGGTCGATCTGGTCCTTCGGTCTCGCCCGGTTCATCCCGGTACCGGCCAGTGAGCCACCCAAAACAACACCCTACCGAAGACAGGAAATCATCAAGGAGCTTCGATTCTTAAACACAACAAATCGAGACAAAAGATACAAGATCCGAGAAGAAAAAAGAAATCCCAAATATAAAAAATAGAACAATGCAAGGCACCATGGAGTCGGCACCGGCGAGCTCTCGCGTGGATCGGCAGGGGCGAGCGGTGAGTCTGCTCGTTGGCATGGACTAGCCTCACACCACGTCGCCTGGGCGCCTGACACGAACAGAGGGCCGCCTTCGCCTTGGCTCCCACAGATATTCTTCGTGATGAGATGATGAGGGGTAGTTCTAGTGTGGACTGGTAAGGCACTTAACAGCTATGTTCCAATAAACGAATGGAGACGTGGAATGGAAACGAGAACTTGGAGGTGATATTTTATAATAACATAGGAACGTGAATGTTTCCGAATCGAGAACATAGACGTTCTCGAAATGAGGAACGTGGCCATGTTCCACGTATCCGGATGCTATTGTAAGGCAGGACCATATGTGCCCTTACTTCCATAGGCCAAGGCCCCTGGCCCATGGATTTGCTGTTGAGTAGTTCAATATGACCTAGCAGTCTGCGGGCCTCCGATGATACTACACCTAGGCCTTGGAACACGGGGTTTATTTGTACATTATACGAGTATTTACTTTTTTCCGGACATGGGCCGGTCCATAAGTTTTTCATTAAGAGGGAATATACAAGTTTACTCATCTTGTCCGTGTTCACCACCTTTAGCATTAGTCTTCCTATTATCTTCCTTATCTCCTATGTTCCTATCACTGTTCGCATTAACGGTCTCGTAGCTCGTGTACTCAACATTTAAACACTACACAATAGTTCGATGTCCCCATTTAATCGTTAGACTGTTTTTCCCCGAGGATAAACAACAAGTGCCCGATTGTTTGTCGTTTAACATTTAGGATCTAGTGCTAATTAATTTTACCCTGTTTAACTACTATTATTACCGTGATTCTTTTTTCTGGCCAAAGGATTAGATTGACCGGCTGAACGTTAGGGGCCTAATTCTTTTGTATGGCAACACAAACGTTTATTTGGTGTTTTGTATACCTTTACCACGTACATATTTTGACACGTATGATTGTTGCCGGTTTGCACGGCCCCCCTATGTTCAAATCCTGGCTCCGCCCTTGAGCAAGTTGAAAGCATCTAGGCCCCTAGTTGGATTTCGGTGATTAATGACAATATGTGATTACTATGACTAACGTGTGTTTTGCAGAGGCAATTAAGTTAGGTCATGGTAATGGAGATCGATTGGGCAATCATGGTGGTCATGCCCCTACGATGGAAATCATTTCGGTTTTCAAATGATGGACGACAAGGTTAAGGATGGACTAGTTCTAAGTGTCGTTTGGTGTTGAAGAGACACTTAGAGTAGTTTAGGACTTTGTTTTTTCCTTTGGCCGTACTATTAAGGGGGGTATGGACGGGTAGCTTGACCTAGGTAAGTCTAGTGGGTTAGGTGTGGTGCACACTTACTAAATCTAGCACTAGGTATCTCCAAAATAGCCCTTAGATCCAATGGAGCAAACTTCATTCACGAATGATCGAGAGTTGAAAGTGAATGGAGGGTCAAATACTGACCGGACGCTGGTTCCGGTGTGACCGGACGTTGGCGCAGAGTCCGGTCAGTTCATTTGATTAAGGTGAATTCGTCTGGTGCGACCGGACGCTGAGAGGTGAGCGATTGGACGTTGGGTGTCAGTGTCCGGTCGACTCCAATAAGGTTCCAGAGAGGGAAAATGACGACCAAACGCGTCCGGTCACAACTTAAACACTGGAGGCCGGGGTGAACTGACCGGAGCGTCCGGTCACCCCGCAGAGGCACATACCGATTCGTTTTTCAATCAAGGTTATAAATAATTCCTCCATTCGTGTGAGGGGGTAATTTTGCTCATTCCAACAGCTGAGAAACACCTTTGAGAGTGCCAAGAAGAGCAAGGTCCTAGTGAGGTGATTGAGATTTGAGAATCCCAAAGAGAGCCCTCATTAGTGAAAGCAAGAGTAGCAAAGTGTGCATCCACCCTTCTCATTAGGCTTGTCGTGGTCAAGTGAGAATTCATGCTTGTTACTCTTGGTGTTCGCCATCACCTAGACGGCTTGGTGGTGATTGGGAGCTTGGTGATCATCCGGCGGAGCTTGTGGATGACCCAACTCAAGTTGTGAGCGGTTGTGGGTGATTCACCGCGACGGAGTGTCAAAGAATCAACCCGTAGAGAGCACTTGATCCTTGCGCGGATCAAGTGAGAGCTACACCCTTGCGCGGGTGCTTGAACGAGGACTAGTGGGGAGTGGCGACTCTCCGATACCTCGGCAAAACATCACCGCGTTCCTCCCCCTCTATTTACTTTGAGTAATTACTTTGAGCATTTACATTGAGCAATTCAATTCTTGTCTTTACAATTCATAGAATTGCCATGCTAGAGTAGGATTGGAACTTAGGTTGCAAGTCTTTTTGTGCGGTAGAACAATTAGAAACACTTTTTAGGCACAAGGGGTTAATTGGGCTAACCGTAGCATTTAATTATTGCAAAGAAATTTAGAATTAGCCCAATTCACCCCCTCCCTCTTGGGCATCTTGATCCTTTCAGCGGTGATGTTTTGCCGAGGTATCGGAGAGTCGCCACTCCCCACTAGTCCTCGTTGGAGCACCCGCGCAAGGGTGTAGCTCCCCCCTTGATCCACGCAAGAATCAAGTGCTCTCTACGGGTTGATTCTTTGACACTCCGTCGCTGTGAATCACCCACAACCGCTCATAACTTGAGTTGGGTCATCCACAAGCTCTCCGGATGATCACCAAGCTCTCCAATCACCACCAAGCCGTCTAGGTGATGGTGATCACCAAGAGTAACAAGCACGAACTCTCACTTGACCACAACAAGCCTAGGAAGAAAGATGGATGCACACTTTGCTACTCTTGATCTCTCTAATGAGGGCTCTCTTTGAGATTCTCAAATCTCAATCACCTTACTAGGACCTTGCTCTTCTTGGCACTCTCTAAGGTGTGTTTCAGCTGTTGGAATGAGCAAAAGTAACTCCACACACGAGTGGAGCTTCTATTTATAACAAGGACTGAAAAATGAACCGTTATCTGCCTCTGCGGGGTGACCGGACGCTCTGATCAAGTTGACCGGATGCTCCAGTCAGTACACCCCGAATTCCAGTGATTACAATGTGACCGGACGCTGCCAGCGTCCGGTCACGATTTTCCCTCTCTGGAACCTTACTGGAAACGACCGGACGCAGGCTCTCAGCGTCCGGTCACTTGACCTTCCAGCGTCTGGTCGCACCGAACGATTTCACCTCGGTCAAATAAACTGACCGGACCCTGAGCTAGCGTCCGGTCAAACCAGAGCCAGCATCCGGTCAGTATTTGACCCTCCATTCACTTCCAACTCTCGATCATATATGAATGAAGTTTGCTCCAATGAATCTTAGGCATATGTAGGAGCTATCTAGCGCTAGTTTTAACAAGTGTGCACCACACCTAACTGACTAGACTCACCTAGGTCAAGCTACCTGTCCATACCCCCCTTAATAGTATGGCCAAAGGAAAAACAAAGTCCTAAACTACTCTAAGTGTCTTCTCAACTCCAATCGATACTTAGAACTAGTCCATCCTTAACCTTGTCGTCCATCCTTTGAAAACCGAAACGATTTCCATCGTAGGGGCATGACAACCATGATTGCCCAATCGATCTCCATTACCGTGACCTAACTTAATTGCCTCTGCAAAACGCACGTTAGTCACAGTAATCTTATATTGTCATTAATCACCGAAACCCAATTAGGGGCCTAGATGCTTTCAATCTCCCCCTTTTTGGTGATTGATGACAATACTACCTCGAGTATGTGAAAGAGTTGAGGTTTTTAACATGCTTGGTTCATATAAGCTTTTAGCAATAAGAACAAAAGAGTTAGTTAAGCTTATATGACCCAAGCCAACATAATGTACTCCAAAGATATGAATTAAGCATGAGTACAAGAAATAAAGCTCATTTGCATCGGAGTAGAATGCGGAAGCAAAAGCAAATGAGCATAACACAAGTGATATGACATATAAGTAATTCAACGTAGAGAGCACACATGTCATATATCACGATCACGTAGATATCACTATCACATATATATATAGTTCAATGCATAAAGGTAAACACACGATAAATGCATAATAGTGTATCACACATAGAAACTCCAAATGTAGTATATAAACTAATAATATAACTAAGCTCCCCCTAAAAACGTCGCTCCCCCTAAATCTATCATACTCAAACCCTCTCCCCCTTTGGTGTCAAACACCAAAACCTAAGGGTCAGTCAGCGGGGCTACAGCGGACGAGCCGGGCGCTGAGGTACGAGGAGCAAGCTGGAACTAGGTGCCATCATCGTCTGATCCTAAGCTTTGAGCTATATGACCCTCTAAAGCTGGAACTGATGCTGAAATAGTCTGGGTCAGATCAAGTACTAGAGCTGCCTGTGATGCTGCTGGTATGTCTGTCGTAGGATCTGAAGATGCGACAGAAGAAGGGAGCCTTTGAGTAGTCACGGTGACGGGAGCTGCTATAGAAGGACCTGGGGCATGCATATGTGGCGGTGTAGGCATCCCTATCAACTCGCTAAAAGATGCTCCAAGACTCCTGGAGACTGATGTGTCCGGCACAAATAGCGAGGGCGTCTCATCTGGTGTAAAGCC